CCAGAAGTAAGCCATGATGTCACACACACCAATTGAATCCAGTATATGACAGTATTTGTTCCAAGCTTTTAAACAAAAAAGTTTTCATTCCAATATCTCAATTAACAACGAAGATAAAAGCGGATGGAATTATTAAACGGTTTGCTAATAATAAAAATGCTTAGATGTGCCACTGGTATACGATAAATGGGTCTCAATGGGAATTTTGAATCTTACAAAGATTTTATAAAGATCGTACATTCTTATGTTTTTTCCATAAACGAATTAATAGTGACATGTTTAGAAAAAATATTATCCAATATGGCGGCCATTTTGACAGCTTACAGAAAATTTTCAATACATGATTATTATACAAAAATTTTTAAATTTACAATAAAAGAGAGGGTTTCCATTTAATAATAAAAAAATTTCTATTTTCGTTATTTCCGGAAAAAACGGAAGTAAGCCAGGACGTCACAGAATAATTGAATCAATCAAAAGAAAATGTTTGTTCCAGTTTTTCAAACAGAACAAAATTAATCAGATATCTCACTGAATAGTGAAGATAAGGGGAGTGGAACTTTAGTAGTAACCCTAACAATGTCACTGACCCATTTGACAGAACTGATACTTGAGTTTTCATAACTAGTCTTTAATAAATAAAATAACCAAACAAAAAAGACAAAAACAAAAATTAAAAAAAAAAACCAAAAACTTAAAGCACATTTTTAAAAAACAAACAGAAGGTGTGATATAAAAAAAAATATGAACATAATAATATTAAAAATAAAAATTTATAAAAAAAAAAACAAAAAAACTCACTCAAATATGTCAATGAATACAAAAAAACACTAAGAAAACGCAAATTTTAAATTTCTTTTTTCTCTACTAAAAACATCGATAACGGAAAACATAATTTATTTTTCAGTCAGCATATTTTCCTTCATTATTCACTCCGTGCGTGACAGCAACGCCAACTATTTTATAACTAACGGACAATATGTGCGTATACTGACAATACAATTTTTATTATAGTTCGTAATTAAGAAATATATATGTAAATTTTAATTTTAAAACAAGTGAAATTATTATTATTATTATTATATATTTTTATTACTCTAGCTAAAAAAGTCAATAAAAATCAATAATAAAACATAGGCAGGTATTTACATATTCTCGTAAATAGAGATCTTGGCTGAGCATAATAAGTTGTCATTGAAGAATAGGTTAAATAATGTCAAAATAAAAATATTACCATTATATAATAACGTAGAAATAAAACGTAATAACAAAAATAATTGATATTTGCGATTGTAATTTATATTTTCTTCATTTTTAGTTCGAAAGAACCCATAGAAATTAATGCATAAAACTGGTTTCCTATCAATAAGTCACAAGATTGCATGTCAGCCATATACCATAAATAAAGGCAGAAATCTAATCATTTACAAAACTTTTAAGATTTAAGGGATGTTAAAGAATATCATAAAAAAATAATTGCTTAATTATTACAAAAATAAAGGTTTTTTGTTCTTATTATACAGCTGTCCATTTATTTCTTTTATTTAATTTCGATTTTGCTACTGAACATTCATATAATTTACAGTCTTTTTACTAGTATAATTTGCAACATAGCAACTCCGGTTACTCATTTTATTGTTTTTACCTAGTTTTTTTAATAAAAAGTAAAATGTATACGTGTAGTTGATATGCCAAAATTACAAAATATCGCCCTAAAATACTCGAATTATCCGCAGTTGCGCTAGTATCGCTTTTACTTCCCCTACCATGACTTCGCACTGATCGAATAGACCGCAGCCATGTTTTAACATGCCTAAGTGTTCCAAACGTTCTTTCGATTAACTGTGTCGTTGGTGGAAGAGCCATAAATATTTTTTAAACCATTTTGTATGTCTAAATAAAATTCACAATATTTGGACGCTATATCATCAATGGAGAGCTCATTGTGTGCAGAAAGCTCTTTCGTATTCCAGTTTAGTATTCAGCTTCAAAATTGTCGATTACAAATTTTTCCACCACTTTCATTTTGTTATCGGTAGTGAAAAAAGTATTTTTTATGTTTTTGGGATGTACGTGCTTAAGGAAAAACTAACAAAGTCTTTGGAAAAGCGGAACCCAGATATGCAATAAATATATTCAACCTATAATATTCTTCAACTATATTAGCCTGAATATTATTTCTATGAGATTGTTATTCGTAATGCATAATATCTTATGCGTTGTTGATTAAGCCGTAAAAGCCAGGGGGGGCAACTGCCCCCCCTTGCCTTCCCCCCCAAACGACGCCCATGGTTACAGCAAGAGTTAAGGTTTTATAATATATACAAAAAAAAAATAAAAAATTCAAAACAAAATTGTAATGAACAAAAGTAACAATAGGTCCAGTAGTAGCTAATGCTCACTAATGCTGATCGTAGGGCGACCATAAAGAAATTTATGCGATATAAATAAAAAAAATAAAAAAAAAATTCAGTTACATATCGACCAGCACCCGTGAACCCTATTACTGAAAGTTTACTTAATTATAATTTATTCATTTAAAATAAATGATCTTAATTTTAAAACATTGCATATATAAGAAAATATACACCATGCATCTGGTTCGGTTATATTTTCTAATGCATAGATTAAAGCCTCCAGATCGTTTAAACAATTTGTTTTCGGTTTCATAACATTATATATTGGACAATCGTACAAGATATGTGTAAGAGATTCATTTACATTTATGTTACATACCGTGCAAACATTATTGGGATCTATTACATATATATTATTATTAAGTGTAAATTTTAACCGAAATTTATTAGTTAATCGGAGTTGTGCAAGTGTTCGTGTAACTTGTATGGGCAGTTTTAGAAGTAAATATTTTTGGGGAATTTTATCAAAAAGGAAAGGAAAAAGCTGTATATAAGGACAAAAACTGACAGCGTGTAATTCCTATAATATCAAAATTGTAAAGTTTATTGTAATAAGCAGTAAGTAACTTGTTTTTGTTTAGTTTTAGGTTATTAGCATTAAGATTATTCCATATGTCTTCATGGTCAATTAATTTAAATAAGTGTCTAACTTGAAGTACACCGTCAGTTACATAAAAAGACTTAGATAAACCGTTAGAGGATTTAACCCTGACTGAGGCTTTTGAGTATAAATTTATTATAACATTAAGAATTTTCGCCGATATACCTAACCCATATAATTTATTCTACAATAAACGATGATTTACCGAATCAAATGCTCTTTTGAAATCGACGAAAATTGCAAAGAGTTTCCTTTTTCTATGCCTAATATGCAAGTGTATTATCGAACTTAGTGTATGTACATTGTCGATACAACCTCGACTTGATCTAAAGCCACTCGGGTAAGATGTTGCAGATATCAGTCCACAGAGAAAGCCTATCTAGAAAAATATGCATAAATATTTTTGCACAACAGTTAACGAGTGCTATACCTCTGTAATTTGTTCGATCATCTGCAGGCCCGCTCTTATGCAACATAAATAGAATAATATTAGACTAGGAAGTAGGGGTGGTACCATTTTCAAATATGCGATTGTAAAGTGTGGTTAGATATAAAATCCAATTATGGGGGAGGTTTTTAAAAAATTCGTACGTGATACCATCGCTACCAGGAGCTTTATTATTTTTACAGATATTAAGTACATTGTAGATTTCCTCGGTTGTGATGGGATCATCAAGGTATGGATGATGAACATCCAAAAAATAAATATCGGTATTTATTTGAGTTGGATACATTTCCATGTAAAAAGCATCCCAAACATGAGATGGAAGCGTTTTTATTTTTGTAACACTGCGAAACTGCTTAATAGTCAACCAAAAATCTTTAGCATTTGATACATTGGAGAGTTTAGATATGCTTTCATTATGATATTCTTGTTTTTTAGTTGAAATAAGTTTTTTGTATTTATATTTAGTTTCAATATACTGTTTCTTAGTATGATCAGAAAAATTATTTTCTTTTGCATTTTTTAGCACGGTTTTAAGTTGTTTTTTTGCATCAACACATACACTGTCAAACCAAGGTTTATTCTTATGATTAGAATTTGAGTGGCTGTAGATTGTTTTTACTAAACCTAAAATTTTTGCAGTTTCATATACAGCATCGCAAAAATTATCGTAACAGTTGTTTACCTCAGTTAAAAATGTCAAATTGTTAGAACTGCGCATAGCAAGTTTATAATTTAAAAGCAAGTCATTTTTCCAAATAAGAGATTCATTAGTAATAATGCTATTAGCAGAGAGCAGAATAGAAGAATCTTCTATATTATAATTTAAAATTATATTTATTGGGTAATGATCTGATAAGAAATCGACAGAACCCACGAAAAAATTATCAACATATGTAATATGAACATTACTCACCCATACAAGGTCCACGACACTCTTACCCATCTTACTTATATAGGTAAATGTAGCAGGTCTGTCCAGTGAAGATCTGCCATTAAGAAGGGAAAAACAATTATTGCACATAAAGTCAAGAAGCGACAGACCTCTAGAATTTACGGTTGTATCTAAACTAAGCCTATCTTCAAACAAATTTGAGTTTTCAAGGATCTCACTGGGCAAACTGCCTAAATTTGATACCCTACAATTAAAATCACCACCAATTACTATAGGTACATCAGGATATCTTTCTAATTTTCTGTCAATGTTATTTGAAAGCCTTCTAAAATATTATCAATATTTAAAGACAGTTTCAAGTATACATTGCATATTATTATTTTGAAATCACTAAAAGAAAATAAAACAATGATCCACCAAGCGGATTTACATAATACACTAGCACTAAAATATTTCCTATAAAAGATGCACAACCCACCACTGGCTCTACCTAATGACTTCTCTTTTACCGCACAGACACTTATTACACTAAAGTCTTTAAAACAATTTGATGGTGGCTGGGTAATTTCCGTAGTGATCCATGTTTCACCAATACAAATAATATCTGGAGAACTTGGAGCAGAAATAAAATTTTGTAGATTTCTATAACCATGACAATTCCAAAAAGTTACTAGCAGTTTTTTGAAGGAGTTGTTCGGTTCTGTTAATTTTTGGTATATTTTGATTAGGCGAGAAATCTTCACGTCTTCTTTTTGTTGTTCCAGGAATAATTTGCGGTTGACCATTAAAGAATTTTATTTTCAAGTTTTCTCCTTTAGCTTTTCGTTCCTCTAGTTCCTTGAACACCGAACTTATCTCTTCTTTTTGACGAGGTGTATAATCATTAGAAATTTTCAAATTAGGATATTTCGATTTGGGCAATTTAAGTTTGTTACGTAATACTGATAGAGCTATTTCTTTTGTTTGAAACTCAATTTTTAAAGGACGAGGGACACTGTTATTATTTTGCAGCTGACCTAGTCTATAAACCTTATTATAAGTAATAGGAGATGGGGCTGGAATCTGATTCAATATGTCCTTAACTGCTCCTTCAGTATCTTAATGATTCTTCTATACCGTACATGATAACATTGTTTTCTCTTTCAAATCTATTTCTAAACTCACTGTATAGGTCTTTAGTGCTTATTGACTGAACTTGTCTTTCAAGTTCGGAGATCTTAGAATGCATATCTATATTTTCCGTCTGCAAAGTATTAATTTTTGCAATACACGAATCAATTTTATCATTTTGCAAAACCAGCATTGTACGAATATCATTAATACTTGTAACCAATCCTGATAATTGTGTTGTTATCAAATCTAGCCGGGATTACATATTAAGTAGGTACGCTACTGGTTAATAAGATCGTAAAATACAACGTGTATGAACGATAGGTATAAATTTAATTATCTTACCAGTTTTTATTGCCGGTATTCCACATCAACAATATCTAATCTGTTTTTCATTGACTTATAATCAATAAAATAGTATTAAATTAATCTGTACTCGCAATATTTTACTTTTTCAATTTGGTAATAATTGTAAAACACAAACAATAATACACAATTTCATTTAACTGTATCGAGAGACACTAAATACGTGTTTACAGGTCAAAATTCAAACCAAAACTGATTTAATTTACTACAAAAAATGTCCTGAGAACCAAATCAATCAATCAATATTTGTCGAGATTCGAGATATTAAGCCTTGAATTAATTTTGCTGTAAAATTTTTGCCGATTATTGACTGAAACTTTTTGAAATCATGTTTTTTTTGTATTATCACACTTTTTGTTCAATATATTTTTATTAAAGTTAGAATACTAGAATATGATTAATATCTTACATCGTTAAAGTTCATATTTGAAGAATCTTTAACAAATAAAGGATTTACTGGTTTCTGCATAAAACATACAAATACAATTACTTTTATACGGAGTGGCCCAAAAGTCTGTAAACGGCCAATTATCTCGTAAATTGCTAATCCTAATTGTACAAAATTTGGGATATACCTATTTTGGGATACGGAGATTCCAGATTTAATATTTGCAATGTTGCCAGATTTGCCGTTTCTCTTATATTATTAGTCACTTTGGTTTTTTAAATTCATCACCCTGTATATTCAGTCATTATTGGAATCTCCTATTCAATACGAGTTTAACCATATGTAACGCTTATGATTTTATGTAGTCTGGAAAGTCTTAAATAAAACAATCGTGGAGAAATGTGGTAGACCCATTCTACCATCGATTAGGGTATTGTCAACTCACAAATGGAGCACATTTTGAACACTTGATAAAGTAACAATTATGTTAAAAATGTTATAATCTTTCAATTGTTACGTTTTAATGTAGTTGAAATTAGTTTGTATTAAAAAATGTATTGAGACAATTAGGCGTTGCCAGACTTATTTTATTTATTTAAGACCTTCCGGACTACATAAAATCATAAGTGTTACATATGGTTGAACTCGTATTGAATAGGATATTCAAATAGACTGAATATACAAGGTGATGAATTTGAAAAACCAAAGTGACTAATAATTTAAGAGAAACGGCAAATCTGGGAACATTGCAAATATCAAATCTGGAATCACCGTATCCCAAAATAGGTGTACCCCAAATTTTGTACAATTAGGACTAGCAATTTACGAGATAATTGGCCGTTTCCAGACTTTTGGGCCACTCTGTATAATTTATATATTACTAACATTTACTAAATTATAATAGTTTGAATCATATTAACAACAATAAATTATTTATGAAAATAGAAACAACAATACCAATAAATTATTATTGAAAGTAGAAAAATTAATCGTTACATTGATTCATTGTTAATATATTGTGATTTTTACACGATGTGTATTGAGAGCGATGATGCTGAACAGTTTGAAAAAATGTTTGTCTCTCAACTTCGTTATGAGTTAATGCTTCATTAAAACTTTTGGCTAGTGCTACTCCCCTTTCTGCAGTATCGTTAACCACTTTTAACATTTTAAATATATCATAATACATAAAAAAATTTCAGGACGGGAGCGAAAATAAAAAAAATTGTCGAAAAAAAATCACCCTAATTACTTTCCATATATCTGTATACAGATAGGAAAGTAAAAAAACAAGTTATGTATGAACTTTTACTAACAATACAAACAGGAAACAAAATGCCATACAATTGCTTGTAAAAACTCCAATTTTGATCGGTTTAAAAAGGATATATAATAATAATAAATGTCTTTATTAACCAACAAAATACAAGTGAAGTAAAATGGAACATTCATTATAATTGTTGAATTATATTCAATATTGCTCAGTATTGCATCAAATATTCACTAAGCTTTCATTCTCAATTTTTTTATTACTCCTGGAGACGTCTCTATAAGGCGCACTGCATTTAACTCCTGGAAACGTCTCTGCCGTACTGCCTTGTCCGATAAGAATGGTCTGCCAACTAAGAACTACGTCACATACGTCATTCTCTTCTTGTCCACTTCTCATTGGTCATCCATATGCAGCAACCATCTTCATTGGTTAGATACAGGCGTTATGCACTTCCTAATTCGTCAACGTCGAGCGTTACTCTTACTGCGTTTGAAAACTACCTCGGTTTGCTCTTTTTACTCGAAGCCATTCTTTTAATACATATGTGGCTACTCAATGGGATCTGCCCCGTGGTCTTTTAATGCAGAGCTGGTAAGTCGAGTAAGCTCTATTTACTCCGAATTCAATTTTAGAGCTTTCGGAGTAAATGTAATTTCTGTGACAATTGACAAAGTAGATGTACTTCTCTGAGATATAAAGACGTCGTTCGTTGTCTCTTTGTTGCAGTTTATTCTTTTTCAGGTGTTTGTCTATTTAAAAAAAATACTTATAAAAAATGTCAGACAGAAATGAGAACATGGTTTATTTTCTAGTGAACGCAAAAAGCGAAAATACCACAGCTAAAAATTAACTTTACTTTGAAACTTGCAACAAAAACCACGAGACGAGAGATCAAATGTGATTTAAAAGAAAGGTTTGTTTGTTATTTTAATGAAAACCGGAAACGAGAAATGCAAACAAATCCATAGCCGTTCTTTTATTTCATATAAGCTCGATTTGCTCGATGATCACGTGACTAAAAAATCTACTAGCTCTATTCCGCTCCGGGAGGTACTTTTCAAACGTAGCATCTCAAGCTAGCTGAGCAACTTCTCTCCCCACAGATCATCAAAAACAGTCACGCACAACATAGCGTTTTGCGGTATTAAAAAAGGCAACGCCTCGGCGGCCGTCATGATATTATTTTCCAACCATAAAAATGACTTAAGTAACAAATTTCCTAAGAAAATGCTGTACATAGTGTAAAATGTATGTAGGTTTTAAGTGCACCATGTAATAAATTTAACATAATTTCAGTAATGTGTAATTAGGTGATTTTTTCATCCAAGTACCAATCCTCCCAGACCTACGGATCGCACAGATATTTCCTACATTATTTAATACAGTTCATAATTTGCCAAGGTTCGAACAGTGGATATTAGATGACGAAATACTTTGGGGTCAAATTTCTAACTCGATTAACATTTCTGAACCTATTTGCAAATGGTTGAAAATGATTATGGCACTATTCACTTTGTTGTAAAAGCATTTTGTAATATTAAAAAGGTAATTCAAAACAACCTTGCATTGTCCCCACGAAGAAATCTGAATTGTTGGAATTCAAATTTTCCAGAAAATTGTTCAAATAAAAGTTGTTTGTTATGTCATTTTTATTCTATAAAAAATTTCTCTAAAATGGATCGTATTCAAGATATTTGAAAATTGTAATTCGAAGTTTAGAAAAAAAAATCAAAAACGGATTAAGAGAAAAACCAAATTTTCAACTTAAGCTTTATTTCGGCCTGCGTTGAATAGATTTTGGGTAGAGTCGGAACATCTGTGGGGGTACTTTATAGGGGGTAGTTTTTACATTTTATGAAATATATGTTATTTACGTTTGTAGAAGAAATTTCTTCAAATAAAAGTTACCTTCTAATATTATTCTCTAAAATTTTTGCCTTATACAAAATTTTCCTCAAATGGTCCGTATTCGAGAAATTTGACAGAATGTAAAAAATTCAAATTTTTAAACTAAATTTGTTTGAGATATCGATCTCTATAATTTTTGTTTCATACATGATTTCTCTCAAATGGACCGTAATGAAAAAAATTTGAGAAAAGTGTAAAATTTTAATGTTTAGGTATTTTTGTTGGCAAAGAATATATTTATATAAAAAAAGTTTCGAGTAAGGTGAATGTGGAAAATGTATATATTTAGGTTGTAAAAGATAATCGGAAAAAGCCTGTACCTAATAAGTAGACAGGAAAGGCATGACTTGGGCCCATCAGATTTTTTATAAGCAAATAAATATTCAGTTTTTTTTTATTTTTTTTAATCTTATATATTTCCAATGTTTCAGGAAATATTTCCGAAAACATACACTAGTAATAACTAGAAAAGAAATTGCAAAAATTAGATTTTTTTTAAAATCATTATTTAATATATTTTAGCATACTTTAAACGATTGCATGGAAACATTAAAAACAAACATTAAACATTTGCCTTTTCCAATAAGAAATACTCAAAATAAAACTATCAATCGCTTACTACTTTCAACACAAAAAACGGGGAGAAAAAGGAACATGTTTGAAAAATATTTAAGTTCAACAGAGAGTCAAACAACAAGAAAACCCTCAGCTAAAAAGAACATCCATTTGTATTCGGCAGCGAATAGAGTAAAGGTGCGTCTCTTTTCTGATGAAAATGATTCAATCAATCCAAATACACCAAAGATTAATTTATATAACAGCAGAGATTCTATCGAATTGGGTATTAAATTTGATGATGAAGATGATGAAAATTTTTTGGTTAACGTCAGTAAGGCTCGACCTTTAAATTATAAACTGGATTTACCACAAACCTTAGCAAAAAAGAGAATGGACAGTAGCTATTTATTTAAAATAAATGAAAATGTTTCCATTTACCAAGAAACAAACGAGTCTATGATTAAAAATTTATTCAATGAATCTGTATCTAATGATATTGAGAATTTGCTATGCCATCATATAAGACAAAACGTATGGAATGCATTTCAAGAACGAGACGATAAGCTTCATTTTAACATTTCGAAAAAGATCAATTTTTGGCCTCTCAAGTCTTTTAGGTAAACAAAGTCAAATATTCGATTCTTTCTTTAACCGTTTTCTTTTTTTTAGTACACAGAAAGAAGGAAGTAAAGACATCGCAAAACTTCAAGCGATACATATTCAAACGGAGTTTAGAATAATAAAGAATAATTTAATATTGAAACAACTAACCGAGAAGTTAAATGAAAAGAAGAAAAACATTCATGTAAGTTATGTTACATGTCTATCTTCCACCAGTTTTTAGTATGGTTGGGCAAAATAAGTGAGGGGCCTAGTATCAAAACCGGCAATCTCCAAATTTCAGTAAAATGTGTTGCATATAGCAGTTTTTTCATCTCGTTGTGCACTATTGGAATATGTTTCTAGTTGGTAACAAAAACGGTTTTATCCCATATAAATTTAGTTTGGAAACTACTCATCAGAATCAAAACCGGCAATCTCCATATGACTTTCAGAATCAAAATCGGCAAACTCCATGCCACCCAATCAGAATCGCGACATGTGATCAGCTGATCACATGAAATAGCATTTAAATAGCAAATACCTATTATGTTTGTTGCTTTCGTTTAGTCCATTGTGGTTGTTCATCCTGTTAAATCTTGTGTTGATTGTTGAGTTTTGCCTGAGAACCTAATGGAAGTGAATGCATCTCCTGCTGAGCCGGGTAAGGCCCGTAAAAGAAAACGTGATCTAGTCACATGGAAATGTAATGTTCGCAAGAAGCTCAGGTATTTTCTTTCTTTTCATACTGATAATAGAGTTGTATTGTCTAGTCTTCTTTGCAGATATTCTGCAAAACAGTTGCCACAATATCCAACATGTGGTCACAAAACGAAGGCTTTTCAGTGTTCTTCGTTAACCATGAAGGAAGTTAAAGACTTTCATGAAGCATTTTATGCGACAAAAAACAAGCTATTGCAAGACTCGTTCATTCTAAAGCATTGCTCTGTTGATGTGTGCAAACGTCGCCGTCCGAAAAATGCAACACGAGAAGCCAAAGTTACCCATGTAAAATGTTTTGTGAGAAATTATTCCTCAAAAGCGAACGTTCCCGTATGCCAGTCGGCTTTTTTAAACATACTTGATATTACAAAACATCGTGTGAGCCACGTCATGAAGAGTTTTACTTCCAGTGGTCAAGCACCAATAGAAAAAAGAGGTGGAGATCGAAAAACTCCTAAATACGAAGACAAACAAGCGGCGGTTCAACAGTTCATCAATAGTTTCAAGTGCATTGAATCACACTATTGCCGCTCCAGTACAAAAAGACTATACCTTCCTTCAGATTTATCGATACAAAAAATGCACACCATGTATGATCAGCAGTGCAGTCCAGAAGAAAAAGTAAAATTGTCGTATTTTCGAACACTTTTCAACACAAAGTATAATTTGAGTTTCATAACACCGCGAACTGACGTGTGTTCCACGTGCCTTGAATTGGCTGAAAGAATCAAACGTTGCGAAGATGAAGAAAAGAAAAAGCTTTCAACAGACAAAAAAATTCACAAACAGAGCAGATGCTTTTTTCAATCTACTTAAAGAAGCTAGAGATAATATGGTAACCATATCTTTCGATTGCGAGAAGAACTTAGTTCTACCAAAGGTGCCAGACCAAACAGCCTATTATTCAAGGCAGTTGTACCTCTACAACTTTACGATTGTAGAAGGTACATCAAAATCCAAGCTTAATCCAGAAAATGTTTTTTCGTACTACTGGACCGAAAATGAGTTCGCAAAAAGTTCCAATGAGGTTTCATCAGCTGTATATGATAGACTGAAAAAAATTGAGTTTGGCCCTCACCATACCACGGTTAGGCTTATGGCAGATGGATGTAGCGGCCAAAACAAGAATAGCACTCTTATAGGGATGTGCTCCAAATGGCTAGCAAATAATGCCCCGTTAAATATTAAGAATTTGGAAGTCATCTTTCCCGTAGTGGGGCATTCCTTTCTTCCAACAGACAGGGTGTTTGGTCACATCGAAAAAAACATTAAAAAACTGGAAGTAATAACCAAACCTGACACCTACATTGAAATCTTTTCAAAAATTGCGACTCCCATTCGTTTAGGTACAGACTGTACTGTTTACGACTGAAAAAAAAGCGTTAAAGAGGTACTGAAACCCCCAGGATCATGGCACTTCCAATTTAAAAATACGAAACGATTTTATCTGAAGAGATGCCAGTCTGGAAATATTTTAATAAGAGGTGAAGTCCATTATAGGAGCGACTTGCAAACCTTTAAGGGATTCACAAAAAAAGGAAAACCAATTGGCATGATTAAACCAGATCTAATCAACGCCTCAGGTCAACAGTCTGAAGTTAAATGACGTGAACAAATTGCTGACCAAACACTTTGGCAAAAAGTGGAGAGATCTAGATGAACTGATGTTTTATAATGATATCGTTCCCAGCGAGGAAATGTTGGAGAGCCACACAGAAAATCCTGAAGAGTCGGAGGAAACCCAAGACAGAGAAGCTAATCAACTTGTTGATGATGCTTGCGAATTCATTGCAGAGATTCCATCTGTATTGGTTTAATTTTTGATATTATTTTCTACTATGTTGTTACCTAAAGAAAAATACAGTTTTAGTTTAGCACTCACTTCGTCTTTCATTGCCTTTTTTCTCGGGTCTATTTATACATTTCGGTATCAAAACCGGAAATGTCCTACCTCTAGGAACAAAACCGGCAATCTCCATATTTTTGTATTATATTTTGGAAAAACCTTGTCAGTTCTAAGTAACAGAACTATTAGTTATTGTTCATAATCGAGTAAACTACCGTTTTCAATAATCTCCAACTATCTAGCATAAATAATAAGGCAGCAGTAGTTATTCGTAAATATCTCTAAACTATGAAAGTGGGATATTGCCGGTTTTGATACTAGGCCCCTCAAGTAAAGTAATCTATTAGTCGATTTTTAATTCGATTAATCGAAAATAATCGATTATTTATTGTAATAATCGCCCAGCCTTAGTTTTTAGTGTTTATGTAGTTTTTAATATACTATTGTTATGTTAGAAATGGGGTGTTAATACACTGCGACCTAAAAGATCTATTGTGCCCCTTCTGTCGCTAATACTACAAGGAAATGTCTCAATGCCTATAACGACCTTTCTTCAGTATCTGTAACGTGTGGAGGATGAGTTACCCCACGGCACTTAGGCCTCATTAGGCCCATTATGCATCCTCCTGAGATGATAGGCACCCCTAGCTCGTGAGCCAGCCTACAGATTTTATGTAGTTGACAACGTCGCCAAGAGGTGCTTCTCTTATATCGGCCGTTGTTAGCCGATACTCGCCGAACACAAATCTTCTAATAAATGAGAGCGTCGGGCAATCGTAAAATATATGCTCGATGGTCTCATCTTCTTGTTCGCACCCTTTGCAGAGTGCGGATTCTGACAACCCCATGATATGGAGATGCTTCCGTACTTGGCAATGACCAGTCAGAATGCCTGTGACTAGGCGCAGATTCTGTCTAGTCATAGTCAAGTATTTGTTTGCTGCAGTGTTGTCAGGATAACTTAAGAGCTCCCTGGCAACTCTGCAGTTTCTTGTTTCATCCCATCTTTCCTTGCATTTCACAAGGGAGTGTTCTTTGATTGGGTCTGTCACTACCGATTTTGTCAGGCCAATAGAAGGGCCAGGTCCAAAAAGTATTTGGTTGGCTACTTTCTTGGCTAGTGAATCAGCAAGACGGTTACCTTTCGATGTGGCGTGACCTTTGATCCATCTTAAGGTGACCACATTGTTGATGGATACTTCGGCCAAAGCTTCGTGATATTCTTGTACTAACCCTGAGTAAATTCGTGGTCTGTTCAGGGCGAGTAGTGCTTGTCTGCTATCTGTATAGATGAGCATGTTCCTTCCATGTTTGAACTACACTGGCACTATTGCTCACAGCCCATTTTATGTTTAGGTTTAAGAATCTGGAGTATATTCCACATCCTGAGCCTTGTTTTGTTTTAGAACCGTCGGTGTAGATGTGAATCGTACCTGCCACTTCCGGCTCTTCTATTTGTTCTATTATAACTTTGTATGGCTTATGGAAGATATATCTCGGTGAGATGGAGTCCATGTTAGCTTGAAGCAGTGGGAGCGTATCGAGCGCCTCCTGCCAAAAAGCGACGTCTTACTTCACCAGATCCTACATCAGTTTCTATTCCAACCGTGCGGAGGCGTGTCATTGTCGTCAGAGCAACCTCCTTGATGTAAATATCAAGGGAAGTGAGACTAAGAATGACTTCCATGGCCCTGGTCGGTGTTGTTTTCATGGCTCCTGTTATGTTGAGACATGCTGTTCTTTGAATTTGTTCTAGTTTACGGATAGCTGGTAATTTTTGGGTTTTTGGTACCCAAACAACTGCGCCATATGTTAGCATAGGTCTTATGATAGCCGTGTAAGTCGACTCTGGGGGAGAAACCCCAGGTTTTTCTAAATGCGAGTTCCATGTTAACTTGCTGTCAAAGGTGAGACCTAGGTACTTCACCTCTGTTGCAAAGTTTAGTTTTGTGTTTAGGAGTTCTGGAGGTTTAATTCCATTTGCATCCTTTTCCTTGTGAAAAGGACCATTTCTGTCTTTTTAAGATTGATAGACAGTGAATGGTCCTTGCACCACTGTTTGTTCGAATTTAATAATAATTCGAACTGTTGTTTTTTGCGACCTAATACGCGTCATGAGGTGCCAGCCTAACGCAGCGGTCAGAACCCTCTTTGGCGCGCTGTCAGTCAAGGAAAAAGCGGGAATCTCACGCGCAGTCCGTTTATGACCGCCGATACTCATAATGTCATGGGGAGAGCCAGGGGCAAGCGATCGAACCGGTGTTGTTCTGGGGTGTGCGTGTGTGTACGTGGATGTTAGGGTGCCTTTGAACGTGCCATTATTATTTTAACAAGCTAGTGTCGAGGTTGCAATTGCCCAATAAATAGCGGCGAAGCCGATTAACTGTAATGACTATAATAAACAGTGAAAAGGTTCAACGAGTTTTATTGTATTTAGTTCACGCACCACCCTCGGAACCTTCTTGAAAAGATTTACGTACATTAAACACAAGTTACTCCATAAGAAAATGCACCTGTGGAATACAATACAGCCCATTAGATTCCTTATTTGAACTTTGATATTTTATGTGCATGAGTAAGTTGTGTTCACTGTTCGATAATTTTTAGAGCTACTGGCATTCGTTCGCAGAGTATGTTCTCAAAATTCCCTGTTTGCAGAATGACCAGGTCATCTGCATATGCTATTGGGTAGTGACTGTCATTATTTAGGCGGCTGATGAGGGTGTCGAGGACCATATTCCACAGTAGAGGTGATAGCACCCCTCCCTGTGGACATCCCCTCGTAACCAAGCCTCTTATATTCACATCTTCTACACCTATTTTTACTGCTCGCTTTGAGAGCATGTTATGTATCCACCCACTAATCATTTATGGAACATTCCTGTTGGTTAGTGAGTGTATTATCTTTGGGAAGGTGGTTTTATCAAAAGCACCTTCTATGTCTATGAAAACACCCAAGGCGGACTCCTTATTGTCCAGGGATCTGTCAACTAGATGAAGGGCTGAATCAGTAGATCTGCCAGGGGTGTATGCATGTTGGTTTGGGTGTAGTGGTGTTGTTGTAATCACCATATCCCTTATGTACCTTTCGCATAGCCTTTCCAATGTCTTAATGGAAAACGATGTCAGACTAATTGGTCGGTATGTTTTGGGACAGTGTAATCCATCCTTTCAGGTTTGGCTATAAATACCACTTTTACCTCTCCATTTTTTGGGGATATACCTCAAAGCCAACGGGGATCTGAATATACCTACCAGGTGCAGTGTGTTCTTCCAGACCCCACTGAAGTAGGGCTGGATAGATACCGTCAGGTCCTGGCGATTTAAATGGAGAGAAGCTGGATATTGCCCATCCAATTTGTTCATCGTCTACAATGTGTTTGGCAGTTTGCCAATCATAGACAGATGGATTGTATTCTTCCTCTGCCCAGTCCACCACGTGTGTGATGACCGAGTCAAGTGTGTTGACAGCAGAAGTTTAATGCTATCTTCGAGGTTAGCAGTTTTCGTGCCATCCTCTTTGATTAGCGCACCAATGCTTCGGTGTGGATCTTTTGAGAGAGTTTTTTGAAGCCTCACTGCCTGCGGGAAATCTTCGAGTTCTTCGCAGTAGGATCTCTATGCATCTCTCTGTTTTTGTGCGACGATTTTTTTGTATTCTTTGAGGTGAGATTTGTAAGTATCCCACTCCTCTTTGAGTTTTGTGGTTCTTGCCTTATTAAAAGATTTCCTAGCCATCTTCCTGAGGTGATCCAACTCGTGACACTACCATGCGGTAGTCGTCTGATCGTGTTGGACCAGCCTCAGGGGACAGAATTTCTTATAGGCCTTGTTTATTGTGCTTTGGATAGTGTTCGTATACTTTTCCAAAGCAGTATTATTGTTTGATGTTTCGGCCTCCATCTCTCTCAGAGCCTCTTTGAGAAGGTGGGCATAGGTTACCCTGTCCGTCTTCCTAGGGTTCCGAGATAGCGTGGAGTTCGGCAACATCAAGTTCATTTTGAATGTTAACCAGTGGTCGTCTGACATCGAAATGTTATCAGACACTTGCCAGTTTAGAATTGATTTATAGATATCAGTTGTGGATAAAGTGATATCTATTAGTGTTTGACTGCGAAAGTTTAAAAATGTTGGTGTGGTACCTTTATTTAAAATACAAAGATTTTTAGTAATTATATAATCATAAAGTGACTTACCTCTAGCGTTGTTATCCTTACTGCCCCAACTGAAGTGATGAGCGTTTGAGTCGCAACCTATTACCAGCTCAAACTTCTGTGCCAGGCAGTATTTAATCAGATCCTCCATCTCTTTGCTGGGTGGTGGCGTGGTTGCATCGGAAGGGAGGTATGCAGATGCCAGGATTAACGTTCTCTTTTCCCTTTTGATGGCGTATTTTATCCTAACTGCAGTTAAATCGGAGGTGGAAAGGTGTGCCATTGAGTAGACTTTGTATTTCCTAGGAATGTAAATGGCTGTCCTAGGTTGTTGGTTGCTGGGGAAGCTAAAAATTGAACCATTTAGATTTTTAAGACCTAAAATTTTGGTTTTTAATATCCAGGGTTCCTGGATGAGTGATATTGTATCTTGCAGCTCATCAAGGCGGTAGCATATAGTTGCCGTAGCCACCCTTTTGTGTTGCAAGTTACGTTGTATAAACTTTACCTCTTTTATTGCTTCCCGGTCCTCCGTTGAAAATTGGGCGGTAAGGTGGTTAATTATTCGACCATCCCTTCCTCCGAAAGCGGGGAGGGGGTGGTCTCTTGTGGCTCCTCGGAGTGTTCTTGCGATTACCACTTTCTTCAGTATATTGTTAGAAGTTCGAATTAACTTTAAAATTATTGTTTTTAAATTATTTGTCATCCTGCATACTATAATACCTTATATAGCCACTTCACAAAAAACTTGTTAGGTTTTATAATGTGTTATTAAATATCTCTTAAACAATGTTTAAAATCTGGTTAATCAAGGGACAAAATAAAGCATATCTTTAACGGGCATAAATGCCTACTTGCTTGCTTTTGGCTCGCCTTTCGGATGCTGCACGAGCGCACTGTGGTACAGTCAACCCCAGTGACGACGGTTTCCAAACACAGTTTTGTTCTCGAAACATGTATCCTTTTTTTCCCCTACAGTGCCTTCATTTTCTGTGGAAAAAGGTAAAACCAGACCTAAAGTCCAATATACACTTTCATGATCCCAAGCTTCAAGATATTGTAATCTTGAAAAATAATTCATAAATAAAATATTTCATAGGCGTATGCTAACCCCATAAAACTCCGTTCTAATTCAACATAAGCTGTATAAGAATAATCGAGTGAGCTGTCAAAAGAAGAAGCTTCAGGAAACAAAAGTCCAACAGTTTTCAGTGTTAAAATGACCCTTAAAAGATCAAACGGGAGTACCGTCAAAATGTCTGAATTTTTGATATGTTGATTTTCTTGATGTCCCCATCAAAAGTGTCCATGGGCCTAATCGTATCCTATGACTAGGTTTTAAGATAAAGGTTGTTGAAGTTAGAAATCTCTAGTTCTTTAAAATGGACACCATAAATCACCCTTAAATATTTTTGGAAGTTATTTGCTCATTCTGTGTAGTCAAAATACATACTTAACTACTATGATTAAAATATTGTCACTTCAGGGTGATTAATAATTCCGCAGATCCTTTTTAGTCAAAGTAGCTGTTTTCACCAAATATTGTTGTTGGTGGCGTGGAATAAAGCTCATATTTTATTTAAATATACAATACAAAGAGGTACTTATGACAATACTCGAGTCAAATAAACCTGTAATCCGATCATAATTCATTTCTCCACATCCTGCTTAGATCTACCGTATAATCAACTTTTTTTTACCGGAATAAAGTATGACCCTGTATGTGGACTTTTTGATGAACAACTCACAAGGTAATTATTTTCTATTCTTTGGCAACAATTTCAACATTTTGTTGATTTTTTATCCTACATATTCAACCGCGATCACCCTGTAAGTACGAAATTTTTGTCTGTTTCAAAATAGTACAAGGGGTATATTCCTAATCTAACACAGTGTGTCAAATAATTTAGTATTTTTCTTGCAAATATCTACTTATGTCAGTATATATTTATTGTTTAAAATTCATTTATTTGGTATCTACTTCTTATAGTTATATTTGGAAAACTAGTCATAGGATCCAATTTTAACAATAAGAATTTTGAACGAGTATATATATCAAATATTGAGAGACTTTGACGGTGATTTTTTTGCGGTATTTCAGCTATTTTTGTTCATTGGAAATATCTACTCTGACCAAAAAAGATCTGCCGAATTATTAATCACCCTGTAAGGGACAATATTTTAATTATAGTAGTTAAGTATGTATTTTGACTACACAGAATAAGCGAATAACTTCAAAAAATATTTAAGGGTGATTTATGGTATCCATTTATAAAGAACTAGGGTCTTCTAACTTCAACACTCTATATCTCAAAATCTAGTCATAAGATAGGGTTGGGCCCATGGACACTTTTGATGGGGACATCAAGTTATTTAACATATCAAAAATTCAGACATTTTGACGGTACTCCCGTTTGCATTAGAAAAGTGCGGGGTCCTTTAAAATTAAACCAATCTCTTAATTTTGGAGACTAATTTTCAAACATTTTTTAGCATGGCCCAATAAAAAGCGTTTAACTCTTATCAGTATCTACTTGCAGGTCTTACTACTCAAATTCCTCTTTATCTTTTTAATCTGTTTTATCCAAACCTTAGGATCGTCGGTATCTGGCCAAAATGAGAACAAATCAACTTTTGCTGGAATTCTGCTGTTTTTGGAACTAGCTGTGCAACATATCTGCGATTAAATCCTTCATGATACACTTTTAGACACTTCGTTTTAAATGTGAAAACGTGAACAAGATTCTGATGTTAGAAGTTAAACGAATTAACTTTAAAATTATTGTTGAATAGGTCATGGATAAGATGCCGGTATGTCGCGGGCCCTAAGTAAGATTTTGAAGCTTCGCCAATCAGGTCTTACCTTTCGATTTTTGTTATCCTGACTTCCTGAAGCAAACTCCTTTTCTTGGGTGTGCACGCACCGACTCTGAAGGATGTGGACTGTATTTTAAGGGCTTATATTTGAATGTGCAGCTAAGGTTTTGTGAGTCAGTACCGAACTACAATTTTAACACGAGCATCTGTACTTTACGGTAGTCGAAGTGATACTATTAGTGCCCTTTTGGAAAAATTTAATTATTACTAATGAGAATAAAAGTGAAATATTACCTTTCATATTGGATGATAATAATTACATTAAATTGAAATATATTAAATAAGTGAAGATTTAACAATTGTTTTTAAATGATTTATAGCCACTTCACAAAATGTTTTTATAATGTTTTATTAAACATTTCTTAAACAATGTTTAAAATCTAGTTAAGGAACAAAATAAAAAATGTCAACGGGCAATTCAAGTGTGTTCCCGTTACCTCTGCTGCGGTACCGTCGGTCTCAGTGGTGGCGGACTCCTAATTCGCAGACTCTTACAATACAGTAACTTTTAGCAATATTTTCAGATGACTTTGATCAATTCAGGTTACCCCAAGGATATCATTGATGTACTACAAAGAAAGATCTTATTTTATATTGAGGATGTTGGAATGGATTTTACCATTGAATCGATGAAAAAAGAAATAATTACCCAAAATACTGAAGAAGTTACTACTGAATCAGATATTAAGAAAAAATTAATTGAAGCTAAGGAAAATATTGTAAGTATTAGGGGTTGTCAGTGGGTTATGACTAGGGCTGCATGATTTTCAAAATAAATAATCGATTATCAATTATTTAAAATAATAGATTAATCGATTAATCGAATTTAATCGAAAATAATAAATTAATCGATTAATCTAAAGTAATCGATTAATTGAAAATAATAGATTTATCAAAAATAATGTTACTCAAAAATAATCGATTAATTAAAAGTAATCGATTGTTCGAAAATAATTGATAAATTAAAAATAATCGATTAATCGAAAATAATCGATTAATCGAAAATAATCGATTAATCGAAAATAATCGATTAATCGAAAATAATCGATTAATCGAAAATAATCGATTAATCGAAAAAATCTGTTTATGTAAAATAAACGAATTATCGAAAATAATAAATTAATCGAAAGTAATCGATTAAGTAATCGAGAGTAATCGATTAATCTAAAGTAATCGATTAATTGAAAATAATCGATTTATTAAAAGTAATCGATTATTCGAAATAATCGATAAATCGAAAATAATCGGTTAATCGAAAAAATCTGTTTATGTAAAATAATAAATAAATAAATAATCTAAAATAATAATAAATTAATCGAAAATAATCGATTAATCGAAAATAATCGCTTAATCGAAAATAATCGCTTAATCGAAAGCAATCGATTAATCTAAATTAATTGATTATTCGAAAATAATCGATAAATAAAAAATAATAAATTAAAATTAATAGATTAATCTGAAGTAATCGATTATTTGAAAATAATCGATAAATTAAAAATAATCGATTAATCGAAAATAATCGTTTAATCGAAAGTAATCGATTAAGCTAATATTATCGATTTATCGAAAGTAATCGATTAATCGAAAGTAATCGATTAATCTAAAGTAATTGATCATTTTTAAATAATCGATAAATAAAAAATTATAAATTAAAAATAATCTATGAATCAAAAATAAGCCTTTAAAAGAAAATAATCGATTAATCGAAAATAATCGATTAATCGAAAGTAATCGCTTAATCGAAAACAATATATTAATCGAAAGTAATCGATTAATTGAAAGTAATCTATTAATCGATTAATCGAAAATAATCGATTAAGCTAATATTATCGATTAATCGAAAGTACTCGATTAATCTAATATCGATTGTTCAAAAGTAATCGATTAATCTAAAGTAATTGATTATTTTTAAATAATCGATAAATAAAAAATGATAAATTAAAAATAATCTGTTAATCAAAAATAATCCTTTAAAATAATCGATTAATCGAAAGTAATCGCTTACTCGAAAACAATCGATTAATCGAAAGTAATCGATCAATCGGAAGTAATCTATTAATCGAAAATAATCGATTAATCGAAAGTAATCGATTAAGCTAATATTATCGATTAATCGAAAGTAATCGATTAATCTAATATTATCGATTAATCTAAAGCAATTGATTATTTTTAAATAATCGATAAATAAAAAATGATAAATTAAAATTAATCAATAAATTAAAAATAATCTATTAATCAAAAATAATCCTTTAATAGAAAATAATCGAATAATCGAAAATAATTGATTAATCGAAATTAATCGATTAATCGAAAATAATCGATTAATCGAAAGTAATCGCTTAATCGAAAACAATCGATTAATCGAAAGTAATCGATTAATCGAAAGTAATCTATTAATCGAAAATAATCGATTAATCGAAAATAATCGTTTAATCGAAAGTAATCGATTAAGCTAATATTATTGATTAATCGAAAGTAATCGATTAATCTAAAGTAATTGATTATTTTTAAATAATCGATAAATAAAAAGTGATAAATTAAAAATAATCTGTTAATCAAAAATAATCCTTTAATAGAAAATAATCGATTAATCGAAAGTAATCGCTTAATCGAAAACAATCGATTAATCGAAAGTAATCGATTAATCTAATATTATCGATTAATCGAAAGTAATCGATTAATCGAAAGTAATCTATTAATCGAAAATAATCGATTCGAAAATACTCAATCGAAAATAATCGATTATAAAAAATATACAATAATCGACCATTTTGCACACCCCTACTTATGACAGGTTATAATATGACAACCCTCTTGGTGATTTGACAGGGTCAATGATATGGATAGTTATATAGATTGATCATTCATGTTTTTCAAAATAAACATCTTGAAGTAAAAATATTCGTAATTATTTTTTTACTATATTCAATTAGAATAATTGTTTTTAAAACGATTCTGATTAATGAGCATTTGCTCATAACGACCCACTTCAAGCAATTTATATAACTATGTTTCATTGACCCTGTCAACAACAACAGGGTTGCCATGTCATTACCCACTGGTAGCATTTGACAGTTCATTGAATTGCTTAATAATTTGATGTCATTTAACCGCATCTTTCATTCGATTTTAAAATATCATTTTTTTCTCATTACAGTCTTTAAAAAAGAACTCAATAATAGAGTATTTAGGAATGATACAAGATATATTTTATTTCATAAACCATACTCGTAGTTTAACATCATCTTGTGTCAGGAAATTAGCTCCATATACTTCAAATTTGGAATGGTGTTCGTTGCTGAAAGAAACTGTTAATACAAACGAAATTGCAGTATTTGAGGAGTTTCCTTTAGAGTATAATAGGAGATGCATTAATACGTAAGTAATAATAATAACTGTTACTAAAAAAGAAAATAGTAAGTTTAAGAGTAACCTGTAATATAAACTTACTTTTGAGATATGGATCATTTTAGGTTTTTATATTACAAAAACAAATTTAAAATTTTTTTTTTAGAGATTCCTCAGTTTATTATAAAGATATACATTCAGACAAGTTTTTATGTAACAGGGAAATAGATAATGAAAATTTAATTTTATTAAGCAAGATATTAGAAAGTCCATTTTCTGCACCAGAAACAATTCTTTTGGATATTTTACGTGGAAAGCGCAGATTAGAAGTTCTTAAATCCATAAAATGCATAGAAAACAATTATTATAAAAAATGTGAGTATAAAAATCTATATTTTTTGTTAATTCCAGTTTATTTATGGTAATCTAAATCCGTTTATAATACGCCATATTAGAGTGAGGCAATTTTGATCCACTGACAGTTAACTTCTAACCAAACTTTTAACAAAAACATTGAATTTGACATACGTTTTGTTTATTTTTTTTTTAATGTTAAGCGTTCCAACGATCCAAAATGCTGTCCGTGGGCCTGTTGGTCAATGAAATATAGTTATATAGATTGCTCGAAATGGGTCATTTTGCATAAGTGCTCATTAATCAGAATCGGTTTAGCAAAAATGTGTTTTAAGGCATATGTCAACGAGTTCTCAATAACAAATGACAGCCGTTTTTCTTACAAACGTTTCCTGAATTATGCTTCACATCCTTGTTAGTGGAAATAAAGATAACTATGTAGTATACCTATGTTACGCCGCTGACCCACATGTTTAGATTTAAAAGTTTACGTCACTCTATCGCTGCCTGGTCTACATTACTCATTACCAATTGTTGTGTCGCCTGATTCACATCGCAAAACCGGCCACATTCTAGCGATTATAAAAACATGGGCAAAAACTATAGAAAATCGTATTAGAAATACAATAAATTGAAAAAGAAATGAAGGAATTCAGAGCACAGGTAGGAGAATAATGTTTTTCTTTTTATTTAACTGATTTTTAGCTTGCAGAAGATACTACTTTATGTGTAAATTTCTGCATTTAGACAACAAATAAATATACAGAAGATACTACTTTATGTGTTAACGGTGCAGTCATTCATAAAATCCGTCTGCAAAACGAAAAATGCTACTTAATGTGCAAATTTCGCAAAACTTTGATGAGGGCAGATACTATTTTATGTGTAAATTCTGCATTATAGACAAAGACATGTACAGAGGAGGCTACTTTATGTGTTAACTCTGATCTTATACTTAGCCCAGCTAACCGCACCGCGAATAATTCTACTTAATGTGTAAATTTCGCAAAACTTTGGCCACAAAAGATAATATTTCATATGAAAATTCTGCATTATAAACAAATAAATGCACAAAGGAGGCTGCTTTAGGTGTTAAATCTGATCTTATACTTATAAGATGCTAGCCCGGCTAACTTAGCGAAAAATGCTACTTAAAATGTAAACTTCAAAAAATTTTGGAAGCAGAATGTAGGTACTATGTAAATTTTGCATTATAGACAAATAAATGTCTGGTAACTCTGGTCTTATGCCTATAAAATGCAAGGACGCAAAAATGCTACGCAAAGCTCATTGATTATATTATTGTATGGGTAAAACCTGCACCTTAAAAAAAATGCCCCTTTATGTGCACATGAATTAGCCATTGATTAAATATAGATTTAAGTTGATTCAGAATCTAAGAGGTATATACTGTTATGATATCACACCTGATACCATTTTTATTTTTATTTTAATTAAGTATAATATTTATTTACCTTAGGCTTGCTATTTTTTTTTTTTTTTATTAATTTGAGCCCATTTTTTTTTATCTCAGGGGTGCTTCCAAAGTTATATTATTACTTTTATTTTTAATTTAATTTTATTTTATTTCAATTCTATTTTATTTCATTTCAATTCTATTTAAAGTTACTTTAATTTTAATTTTATCTTAATTTTATTTTAATGTTATTATAATTTTATTTTAATTTTGTTTTAATCTTATTTTAATTTTATTTTAAATAATCAATAAAAGATAAATTCAATAACTTATGACTTGATTTGCTTTATACCCTGTATATTCAAATAATAAATAAACAAATTTTCAAAAACCAGAATACAACATTTATTTATAGATACATTATTACCTTAAAATCACAAATTGCCAAATATACCCACTATTTACTTTGATGGGGATAACACTATATTATATTATTAATCTTCCCTATATTCATTCACTCTTCAATCATACAACTATACTATATACTAACATTAAGACTACTAGTACAAATGAAAAAAGAAAACCCTCCAAGAACTAACAATCCTCTTAATGAAGCAACACACTTTTCGGTTCCCTACTTAGAAGACAGACTACATATTATTTTGGTATATGTACATCCCAATTCAGTAATAGAACAAACTATCTTTAATAAAGCTGCACTATACAAGTACTGTATAATTATTGGAGACTTTAACATTAACAAAGCCAAGAACAAGCAGATACAGGATTTTACAAAAAATAGTTCAAAAAGGCAATAACTCCACCAACATTTCATATGAATAATAATGAAGACACTACTCCTGATCTGATGTTATATACAAAAAACATAGAAAGCAATATAACAAAAATTGAAACAAATCAGGATCTGTGTTGTGAACACTCTGCTATAGAAGTTTCAATAGACCTAAACAAAACTATTAACTATCAAGAGGAACACAGAATAAATATCAACAAATGTAATATAGATGAAACAATGCTGCAATACATCACAGAAATAGCCAATAGGCCAATGAACCCCGAAATAATAACACAATTTAATGATAAATTAACCAATACCATTATGAACAACTCACCTAAAGAAAAAGTTAATTATTATAATTATGAACTACCGCCATTCATTATAAAATTAATAAAAAACAAAAGAAAACTGTACAGAGACTATTTAAACAATCCTAGTGAGGAAGCCAAACGTCAAATTAACGGTTATGGCAAAGATATTAAAACTATTATAAAACATTACAAAGAACATAAATGGACAACTGTTTGCAATGAGATAAACGAACAACAAGGAAAAAAATACTGGCAACAAATTAAAAAATTATCAAAATATAAGCAAACACCCCAGATACCCCAATTGGAAACGAACGGCCAAAAATTCGAAACAGATGAAGAAAAAGCAGCGATTTTTGAAGATCATTTCAGGGATGCTTTTATTGAAGAGCCCTCAATTTGATAACATACATTATGAACTAGTCACAACATGGCATGAAACATATTTTAGTAACACACCCAACATTGGAAATAGGCAAATAGATGAAGATGCATATTTCAAAATAGTGTATAAGGGGAAAAGTACAACACCAGGACATGACATAGTTAACAAGAACATACTAAGAAAACTAGATTATATTATACACATGCACATAAAAAACATTTATGAATACTGCCTTAATCATACGTATTTTCCTCCCGAATGGAAACATGGAATCATAATCACAATTCCTAAACCAAATACATGCCACAAGGAACCAAGGAACTACAGACCTATTACCCTTCTATCAGTGTTAAGTAAAAACTTTGAAACAATCATCAAAGACATTCTAGTCGAAGAAATCGGTCACAAAATCCCAGTATATCAGTTCGGGTTTCGAGACAATCGTTCGACAGTACATCCGGTAACAGTAATAACTTCCAATGTACAAACCGCGAAACTAAAAGGCGAGTGTAGTGCAGCAGTGTTTCTGGACATTAACAAAGCTTTCTACAGCGTATGGCATCAAGGACTTCTATACAAACTGTGGTTAATGAACAGTCCTAAATACATCCTTTTCTTACTCCAAAATTATCTGTGCAATAGAAAAGTAGTAGTAAAAATAAACAATATATACTCACAAACATTCACCCCTCAACAGGGAGTGCCGCAAGGTTCACCCTTGTCCCAAACTTTATACAATCTATATTGTCATGACATATTCAATTTTGATCAAAGAAATAACAATATAAACACGGATTTTTTCATACTATAATATGCAGATGACACAAGCCTAATTAGTCACAATATAAATGTACATAAAGCTGTAGAAAGCTTACAATACCTAATTGATAGAACAGAATTATGGTTTAACAGATGGAGATTAAAACCAAACCCCAGAAAATCAGAATTCATAATATTCAACCACAAAAAACATGCCAGCACACCAACTATTTCCATAAACAACACTGAGATAGAATGTGAAAATTCTGCTAAGTACCTGGGAGTACATATGGATCAAAAACTAAATTTCAAGCAACACACTTCTGAAGTAAAGAAACGATGTATAACAAGAGCAAAACATTTTAGAAGTTTAACTTATAAAAAAGAAGGCATATCCCAGAAAACTGCTGCTCATATCTACAAAACAATATGCAGACCTATACTAGATTATTGCCATCCAATATACATAAATGCAAGCAAAGCCGCACTTAAAAATATTGAAGTAGCTGAAACAACTACATTACGATCCATCACTAAATCAAGACACCCAAGAAACCCATTACATAATCCACCTAATGCCCTTCTCTATGATATTACACAGGTAAAACCTATAAAGCAGCGATTAATAAATTTGACTCAGAAATTCTGTGAAAAAGAAGAGACTATAAATATACTTGAACCGCTATGTAGACTCCGTGATCCACTCAGGCATGTCAAGAGGAAGTTTCCTGAAACTACCGTATGGGAATATATCACATCACACTGGGACCTTTAAGACATAAACAAACTTGTGCAAAATTTAATTCATTGATTTTTTTTTTTTGTTTAAGATATGTTACATATTGTATATTATTATTATTATAACGAATCACAATGTTATTATCAGGCTGAAGGACTTCGGTCGATGGCCAGTTGGTTATGCCAATAAAGTACGTTTATTATTATTATTATTATTAAGACTACAAAATAGTACATTATATACCTAGGGTGAGAAGTGAGCTATTATTTACCGAGCACTTTTATATCCTGAGGCGCGTAGCGCCGAGGGATATAATGTGCGAGGTAAGTAATAGCTTTCTCAGCCGAGGTATATATAGAATTTTTTTTACTACTAACATTAATGTATTAGCAATTTTAATTTTGACATAAGTAATTTCCTAACAATTTGTTAAATATTTCGAAATATCAAGCAGACTGGAGCGTGTTTCTAATCAGACTGGCTTTATTTATGTAAAAATTTGGCATGTGTCAAATTTTGGTATGATTCTAGGAAATATCCCATTGCATTTTTGATATTTTAATGACATGGATTTATTGTTATTAATTAATAATTTTTAAAGCCGGTCTTGA